TCTGAAACTCGGATCTCGTTATAATAACATGTCTTGCAGTAGCGGAACCGCGTGTGGGCGCCAAGTATAGAGCGGAGCCGCTTACGGGCACTAAGTATATAGCAGAACCGCGTGTGGGCACTATGCAACTTTAGCGTGAGTTGTCAGTGCATCGCTGTGACGCCACCGTGCCACGACTTCACTGACGCATCTCAACTGATGATGCAATCGCATAACCTCGACTATACGGATGAAGCGCTGTACACAAGACAGTGTATGCCATGATCTCTGGCATGGCGTCACCTGGCTAACATCTACTGTAAAAGTTTTTCAAACCAACATTTCACACTCACTTTGCGCACTTTCTCTCGCATCCTTAACTATGTTGCTAGTACATACACAAATAGGAGATCCCCCAGATAGGCGTTAGCCTTTGGGTAATCCTGAAATAAAGATTATTATTATTAAAGCAGAAATTTTCGGTGGTGTATATTTTCGGTATCTTCGGTGCCGACAATTTTTACCGAAAATAAAACGCACCGAAAATTTCGGTACTACCGGTACTGTATACATTTAGTACTAGTACCGAATACTCGAGTACTCGCTCGGTTTTTTTCAAACATAATCGTACTCGGAATAAAACAGAGTACTCGTTCATACATGGTACATGCATTTACCACAGAAATCTGCAGTTTCAGAGCAGCAGTCGGCAGATATTGATGTGCAGACTGTGTGGTGAACATTTGTTCACGAGTAGAGAGAGCCCAAATGACCCACCAACCAATATACCCGAGAAAAATGACCGCTACTCGGTTCAATCAGGGTTGTATCATGATGTGATTTTAAGGCCCCTGGTGTGCAATTTTTAGGAGATGAAGAATTACCGTACTGGCAATATATGTTGCCGCGTAACGCGTAACGCAGGGGGGTGCGGCGTAACGCGCGACCAGGCTAGTGCGACAAATTTTCGTTGCGTTCGTAACGCGCGTCCGGCGGGGTGCGGCGATCTTTTCATTGCAGTTTGCAAAAAATGATGCGGCAATAGCAAAAAAATGATGCGGCAATAGCAAAATAGTGATGCGGCAATAGCAAAAAAAGGACTGCGGCAATATAGAAACCTGTGTAACGGCTCCTGTGCGACTTTGCATGTAACGCCCTGCGTGCGGTAAACATGTGCCAATGTAACGCTTCATGGCCTCACTGCGACCATATATATTGCCAGTACGGTACTCGAATACTCGAATATTCGATCGGAGAAAATCAGAGTACTCGAACTCGGGATCTCAGTGCCACACTTGCGTGTAAAACGGGTTTTGCCGAAAATTTCCCTCCACCGAACCGCCGATTTTGGAGAATACCGAAAATATTACACCACCGAAAATTTCTGCTTTCACAGTACAGTACAAGCACATGTACCATGTACTGTAAGTCAACAAATATTCGGCGCAAATTTTATTTTCGGCTATTTTCGGCCTGGGCATATTTGGTCGAAAATGTATTGCGGTCGAAAGTTTGTTTCGCAAGGTTCAGCGTGACAGTGTAGACGGTCAGCAGCAGTACAGGCCGAAATATTGAATGCGGCTGAAATGTGTTTTAGCCCTGGGAGGCCGAAATTTGAACGGGCCGAAAATTTGTAGATTTACAGTATCCTCGAATCCAAGTCGCACCTTTTCACACTAAACTAAAAAAAATATATATATACTTCAAGGGCAAAGAAGGGGATGCGATTTGCAATCGAGTGTGACTTTCTACTTGCGTGAATGTATTGATACAATTTGGCTCAGACCTGAAATTGGGTTGCGACTTATAGTCGGGGGGAAATCCGGTACATAGTCAGGTCTCAGGACCCTTACCCTGTTTATCTGCAGCGCTGTCATCCCTGTCGACCTGACGACGTGGTGCTCGCGGAAGCCCGGTATGCGGTGCACGGCTTCGCTGCACGCCAGGCACAGAACCGCCCGGCAGTCCGTGCAGGCAAACAGGTCGGGCAGCCGCTCCAGGCAACTATAGCAGCGGAAGTTGTCACACGCTGTCCCGTTTGCTGGCGGAGCATCTGAGAAAATTGCGATAACAAATGCAAAGAAACAGACACCATGTTACTGGCACCTTCGCAATGTAAGCGGATTGGCATACTTCACACTTGTGCTATTCAGGACAAGAAAACATCTACACGTCGACAGAAATCACACAATATGCTTGTGGACACACACCGTGTACATGGTACTGTACTTACTCACTGCCACAACTGGTCACGTGGGTCTTCCTGGGAGAGGGGAGAGAGACTCAAAAGGAATCATTTGGAAAGAAGACACATGACACACGCACACACACACACACACACACACACACACACACACACACACACACACACACACACACACACACACACGCACGCACACACACACATCCTCCGACCATCGACCGCACACCAGCTCACCGGCACAGTTGACCGGGCTCGAGAGCGACTTGCGATCCGTGCCGATGCTGCTTCCGCTCGCGGTGCCACCCGCCGAATGTAGCGGAGTCGCCGGGGCGGACTCCACGATATCCAGCACGCCAAAGTTCTTGATCAGCTGGTCAACACCACTGCTACCGCAATGCATCAGTTCGTGGCATTTCGGACAGTCAATAGAGTCAGTCCTCAGGAGCTTCTTGCAGCAGCCTGTACATGCATGCACAGAAAAAAAGGAAAGAAAATGTTCTAGTGAATCCCAATCACATAGATTTCCACTGGATCGTACACATGAATTAGTGTATACATACACACATGTTACTTGTACACGTAAAATGTACAGTCAGCTAACGTTACTTTGCTAATAACGACTGCGGATATAACGACAATTCGCGAATAACGACAGAATTTCTATGCCCAGAGCAAAGTCACATCCAACTGTAATACATATAATGGGACTTCGGGTATAACGACGCTTCGCGAATAAGGACACTTTTCTGATGCCCCGCCGAGTGTCGCTATACGCGAAGTTGACTGTATGTACAGTAAAACCTGTCAAGGCGACCACTCGGATAAGGCGACCACCTGTCCAAGAAGACCACTGAAACCAGAATCAAGGGATGTCACTAAGTTTCCAGTCAAATGACCCTGGATAAGGAGACCACCTGGCAACAGACACCACATTTTGAAGGTCCCTCGAGCGGTCGTCTTAGACAGGTTTCACTGTATTACAAACAACGGAAGAGAACGGTCGTACGAAAGAGAGCGAGTAACTTCAATTAGTTTCACGCATTTCAGCTGCCACGACCGGCCCTGGCTACGTATAACAAAAGCAGCCAGAAAACCTACACCGATGGTCCTGTCTTTGGACTGTGGTGTTTTATTTTTTAGTATTTACGGCCGGGCGCTCTTCGGCTCCACGTTCTTCAGCGCGCAACCCTACTGCAGCAGAGGAATTCACGCCTCGCGTTGCGTATCCTGTCGTATCGCCAGCAAGAGTCCATGATCATGGCCAGAGCATTATCAAGTTCACGCCAACAGGCCATCCGATGTGTCCCACCTGGTACCCCAGTGGATGCGGGCATACACGGGCATCACAAGCAAGCTAGGGAAGGGTGGGGGGGGGGGGGGCTCTTTTGTCCCCCCCCCCCCCCCCCCCCCCCCCCGGGAGTGAATGTCGTGAAATTAATAAGAAAGGTCGGCGTGCATGTGCAGTGGCCACGTCCGCATCGATTGTACTCTTGATTGCTATAATACGATCAGATCCAACTATCATACACACACATGTATATCTCATATCAAACTGGCTTACGATTAGTCGATCATGCCATGGGGGAATTTTTTTTAAATGGTCCACAGGGGTCAAGGGGGTTTTCAGCCTTTTCAGGTACAACGAGCATGTAGCCTGATCAGATTGTTGCTTCAAACTTCGGAATACGTATCTAATATTGACTGAGTACGAGGTCAATATAGGAAATAAAAGCCGAGTAAAAGACCGAGGCGAAGCCGAGGTCTTTTACGAGGTTTTATTTCCTATACTGACCAAGTACGAAGTCAATATTAGATTTATCACGACAAACAGACCGTATTTCAAATTCCAGAACGATAACCTCATGAATCCCGGTTTTATGATTGCACAACTGTTGCACCACCACCTACTCATGCAGTGACAATGCTGCACTAGGCACCGTTCAACTGCGCAACCCCTAAGGGGCCGTCCAAGGTTACCAATCGTATTTTCAAAACGAAAAGTTTTCGTTTGGGGGTGGGTGGGTTTGAAGGAGTTTCGTTTTGAAAATAATTATTAAATGCAGATGGAGAATGCCCAGTTACTTCTGCGTGTCGAAAATTGACATCAATATTTTATTTGAATTCGTTTTACCTGCAGAAAAGGTAGGTGGGTGGGTGGGTGCTGAAAAATACTAAAACTTTTCGTTTTGCAAAAACTATTGGTAACCCCGGACAGCCCCTAAGCAGTCAAATATAAGCAGTCAATATAGCCCTAAGGAATGAAATATGCAGGAATATTTGACTGCTTAGGTATAGCGAAAATCAATGGGAGTCAATACTAAGGGAGTGATAAAATGTAATAATCAACGTATCCGGCGCTGGAGCGATTGCCCAGTGATTGCTTCAGGCAGTAGTAGTAATCGGATACATATACGCACTGTACTAGTACTAGTACTGGTAGCTAAACAACATAAACACAATCATAGTTACACTTGTGACTCCGCACCATCTCCCATAAAACAAACAGCAGTCGCTACAGTCTTGCAGTGTATTTTGTGTATTTTATGGATTCTCCACAGGCCTAAATCGAGGGAGTCTTACTTGTGCAGAACGTGTGTCCACATTTCAGACTCCTGGGGACTCGGCGCGCGTCGGAAGCACAGAACTTCTCGAAGCACACCGTGCAACTGTGCCCCGGCAAGTCCTCATCCGCTGGCTGTTCAGCCATGCCGCTGAAATTCTCTCAACGTGAAGGCGTACCAAACTACAATGTGAACAGCTGCTAATGTTTTGCTCGCCGAGTGTGCTTTCTTCATTAGAGAGGTTAAGTTTCACGTAAAAGTCTTACGTCCGTGAACTTTTACGTCAAAAAGTGAAAAAACTCACGTAAAATTTGACGTGTTTTACGTGAGTTGACTGTCCCGCACGTAAGTTCATGACGTGAGTTTTTGGAAGTTTCGCTTGGTTATCCCGACCGAATTTGTGTGAGTTTCCGGAATTTTATCGAGATTTATCAAGTTTGTTGGAAGATTTGATATTTGTGCGAACTAAACCCGAATCCTGCCAGGCAAAATTTCACGTCACGTCGCACGTGTAACTTAACCTCTAAAAATTTCACGTAACGTGAGATTTGCACCGCGTTTTGAAAAAGGGCAAAAAACGTGTAACTTAACCTCTCTATTCAAGAAAATTCCCCGATGTTCCCTAGAGTGCAGATTGACTATCAACTTCTTCAGGTCTCTGGGATGGTGTGGCGTGTCGAAATCCTGCTCAAGAGTCAAGGACTTGAAAGCAAACGTCGGGGGAACGAATCGTCTTGATCCACGCAGCTATGCTCTCTCGGGTCTCCACTCCGGGCGTCTTGATCGACAGACGTACTATAGGATAGACTAAATTAATCATGATTAATTTTTACTTTCAAAAGGAGGAGGACGGGCACGAATGCAACAGACAGTGCACCCTGTTTTATCCAAGGCGAGCGCTACTTTTTGACAAGCGACGAGATTCAATGGGCCGCGGGGTCGCTGATCTGAAGGATGCCGCATGCCGTGGCAAACGGCCACGGGTTCTGTAGCCTTCATCACCGTTCGCATTCACGACATGTCAAGAGGTTTTACTAAAATAAACCAGATCGCTGTACATGGGTGAGCAGCATCCCACATGTGAAGAGCGTAGAGAGTTCTTCCAGCTCGCGCAACCAGCGCTGCGCCTTTTTGGCGCCCCGAGATGAGTCATCTGGTCATGCCTCGGCACATGCACAACGATAAGATCAGCAAGGAGGTGTGCACGGCACGCGCGGTCGATCTGGCACGGTAGTGCGAATTCACGTGTTTGACCACAAAATCCATCCAAGTACTGAAGTTAGTTTAGATTTCATGGTATCAGACGGGGGTACCCATGCATGTTCCGCATTTCATAGCCAAAACCAACAGGTTTTGGATTTCAAAGGTGTTCAAGCTGAGTTTATTCTGGTCACGCACGAACAGCGACCTCGACGTGGCAAGTGTTTGCTTTGAGCAGGACATACGCGTGCGGACACCTGCGGAAAGAAGGATGACATTTGACGGCTAGAGCGACTGGCACTTCGAGCGTCGCAGTGCTAGCTGCTTGGACATGGTCATGGGCCGAGGCCGGGGACGTCGCAGCACTAGTGCTAGCGATACATAATCATTGCACTGCAGTGTCAAGGTTGGGGGAAAATGCATTGCAATGCATTCTTCGATCTTGTCCGCTGGATCATTGACGAAAGACGTAAAGAAAACATTTCAGAGCTTTCCAATCAGACATGTTTACTTCTGTCCTGTAGAGTGTAGTGTAGATCAGATGTACGAGACCTTGGAGTGACTGGCTAGCCAGAGGCTCGCAGTGACCAGGGCATGTCTCCTGCAAGAAACTTGCTTGGCTCGTCCGTCCCATCGCTCAAACAGGTGAGAGAAAAAGAAATCGCTGTCCGAATGCATCTGCAATGACGTGCACGATTGAATTTTGATGTTTACGGTAGAAGACGTTGACGTTTGTTTGCTCGGCTTGTTGTGGGAATACGATCAGAGAAAATATGTCACAGCTCGGTGGCTATTTTTTGCTTGTCATCGATCGCATTGAGCGGTGGGTCTGGGTCAACTTCTGAAATACTCCAACTAGAAAATCCATGAGGGGATATGAAAATCGTGCTCCTCCGCCTGTTTCTGCTGGAATTCCTTGCCAAGAACGATCGGGAGTGGCACGAAAATGACAGCTGACTTATTACGCTGCGGTATGACCAGTGAAGAGATAAGAGGCTTGTGCTGTGTCATTTCACGTGGAACTTCACCCGCGGGTGGTCCTGCGGGGTGTACAGGGGAGCTAGCTAGGTAAGTAGGTTGGAAATCAGTAGGTGGTTGCTCAGAGCTCAGTGCTGCTGCTATGCACTGAACGCGTCTCACCCCAGGATGTTGCCAGGGTGCTGCTGTTGCTGCACGATCCTGTACTGTGTTATGCCATAGTTTTTATCAATGTCAGCGTGGCAGGTACACTGTGTACTTCTGTGTACTTTTTAATATGAAGTGACCATACATGTATGGACGATACCTTTTCAATGATGGTCCTTTATCACTGTCTCTCTCTCTCTCTCTCGCCAAAAAATAGGCAAGGATACATGTATGCAGGCGTGTGCGCCGGTGCCCTACAAGGGGGGGGGGGGGGGGTTCCGGGGGCCTCCCCGGGGAAATTTTTCGAAAAATGAAGCAAAATCCTGCATTTTGAGTAAAAAAGGGGGGGGGGGTTCCGGGCACCCAGGAACCCATACTTTTCTCTTCGTCTTGACAAAGCCCCGCCACACTTGCGTAAATATAACTGGTTTCTTCCCACTCGTCCTACGCCCAATCCCTGGACTTTACCTAAAGCCCGAACATCAGCTTATACCAGATCTCCGTTTTTCGCTGCCTATTCTCTCTGGCTGGCCCTGCCTCTATCAGTAAATCGTCTTGTACGCTAAAGGATTTCAAGGCCAACATGAAGCTCGTGTTCTAATAACTGCTAATTCTTCATCCAGATGTGTTTCTCTTTGCCTCCAGTAATGTATAATATTTATATATTTTGCTTTGTTCTTGCTTTTGTTTACTCAGCAACTTTACTGCCATGGCTGGCTACCGCCCCCCCCCCCCCCTCCCTCCATATGTATAGATTATAGACCGGTTAGGAGGTCTATACAGGATATATAGACCGAGTAAAAGACCGAGGTCCCCCGAGGTCTTTTACGAGGTCTATATATCCTGTATAGACCAACTATGAGGTCTATAATCTATTTATCGTGTTCTCCACGCAATAGTTTCTCTTCATATACGACATATCCTTGTAATTCTAGTATTATACTATAGCCTATACTGCATTGTACTGCATTGAAAGTCAAGATCATTGTTTAAACTAGGTTCAGCATCGGTAGCACAGTGGCTGGGTGGTAAGGAAGAGTGACTGAGATTCACAAGGTTGTGGGTTCAAATCCCATCTTGTGCATTTCTGCTTTCTTCAAAAATTTCTTTTTCTAAGTTGGAGAGAAAATTTCTAAGTCCAAGAAGTTCTAAGGAGTCAAATATAAGTAGTCAAATATATCGTGTATTTGACTAAGCAGTCAAATACGCGATATATTTGACCGCTTAGGTATCAGGGAAATTAGTGGGGTCAAATACTAAGAAGGCGATAAGTATAGATTATAGACCGGTTAGGAGGTCTATACAGGATATATAGACCGAGTAAAGTTGCTTCACGTTATGATCTTGCATTTTAAAGCCCTATTTGAATATGCAGGCAGGCATAGTGGGATGGTCTAAGACCATGATTGAGAAACAGAGGGTACCAGGTTCAAGCCCTGCTTGGAAGCGGAAGGATTTTTTCCAGCCGTGCTGCGACCCACAGTTAATTGGGAACTCGTGGCCTGGCACGAGGAAAACATGGATGCAGTGAATGGGATTTTCGGTCTTTGGCCACTTGCTGGTGAGCTGATCTACTCACCTCCCACCGCTTTAGGAGCTGCATCTGGGCCTTGATCCTTGAAGGGTGGTGGCGTTCCTACGGATGCGGAAAACCCGGCTTCCAGCCGAGTCTCACGCGAACCGTGATTTTTTTTTGAATATGAATTGTGGCCAGCCGTCTTTGATGGTACGGTACGGTACGGGACAAGTATGGTCGAGGGTAATACGACACCGTCTACCGCCTTGATGACGGCAAAAAAAGCATAGGGATGTTATAATTTTTTCAATTCTCCCATTTTTTTTTCAGGCATATCCTGGGATTCGAACCCGCACCATCGCTCTACATGCATTCCCCGATACACTTTGCGTTCATACCCATTCTTCCAAGTTGCTTCACATTATGATCTTGCGTTTGAAAGCCCTATTTGAATATTGCGGCCAGCTGTATGTGGCCAGCTGTGCTTGATGGCACGGTACGGTACGGGACAGATACGGGATAGTGCCAGGCGTGACACAAACACACAAATACCAAATTAAAGCTGTGTGGACCCTGGTTAGCGCCAGACGTTACTGAAGTAACGTCTTCTGCATAGCTACGGGAATAAATACATACTGGGCACGCACCTGTGTATGGTAAGTGACTGTTGAGTACTGTCACTGACTGCTGAGGTATGAGGTTATGCGATCACACCATCAGTTGAGATGCTTTGGCGGAGTCGCGCGAACTCACGGCACAACGCTGCACTTTTACTAGCGACTCACGCTGCATACTTAGCGCCCTTTAGAAAAATTTGAAACTCTGGTATTGAGCCAATAATAAATGTAGAAAGGAAAAAGGACATATGGAAACGAGTTAAAGTAGGGATGTCAGCGAACGCACTGCGCAGGCCTCTGCGCATGCATTGCGTCATCGATTTTTTGAACGTGATCGCGGCCGACAGAGAAAACATGGCCGCGGTCTGTTTGCACCGCTGGGAGTCGTAAAATTACTGTTCTTCTGTCCCCGCGACCATTCAAATCATACGCGATACTCGAGGACCCACGGACTCACCACGTTCTCCCCGGTCGATTTCTCTGAAAGTTTGCACATCGTGAAACACTAGTATGAGAGGTGTTCAGGCCAATTTTCAAGGAATTTCCCTGGTTGGATCGTTCCAAAATCGGACTTCCATTTCTCGCTCACGGCCATTTCTTGCGCGATGGAAGCGCCCTGCCCTGGTGAGTAACCAGCATCGCGCTTGGTAGAGAGTTGCTGCAATCAGCTCCCTGATGTCTTCGCTGCCATTGTCAGAAGCGATGGACCATGAATTTGTTTGAGAGTCTCTGGATGCTACTATTCCTCAGCCTAGTTTTCAGCCATTCCGTGCATCTTCTTCGCACGATTTATTTTGCAAAAAAATGAAAGTGCTCATGAGTTTTCTTGTCGGCCGCGCGTAGATGGGCCAGGCTGACCTGCGCAGATGGGCTGCGCAGTGCGTTCGCTGATATCCCTAGTTAAAGAGTAACTCTAAACCACTGTAACTAGATACTATATACAGTCAGAAAGTGCAACAACTAGGCACAAAACTGACAGAGTACTGAGACATTCGACGTCCTGACACCTAGCTTCAACACATCTCCGTAGCGCTAACCGACAGCCTTCCAACTCGGAAGGTTCAAGGTTATGGGGAGACCAAAGAGGGGAAGGTATCTAGTTACAGTGGTGGAGAGTTACTCTTAACTTGTTTCCATAATGTCCTTTTTCCTTTAGAAAAATCCGCTGACTCACGCTGTATACTTGATGCCCGTTAGAAAATCTGGCGACTCGTCCCACGAAATCATGCGCACAATCTCTATACAGTGGTTTCACATCTATCGCATGATCACATGACCATATGGGACAGCCATGTTGGTTCCAACTCCACTCAACTGCAGCATCTACGGGTCACATGATGTCGGTGGCCATGTTGATTCCACTGTCCACATGACATGATCACTTTCAGCACAAATGTAGTCACACGACAACGATATGAAACCACTTTATTGCTGATGTCTCAGACAACTGCAGCGCTTCCAGGGCTGCCACACTTGGAGGGAGAAAAATCTGACGGGGTCGGGGGTGTCTGGGAGGGGGGGGGGCAGGCCCCCGGGTGGGACTTTTTTCAGGAAAATGGCTTGCTGTTGGGGCCCCAGAACACATTTTAACTGTCCAGCACACGTACTACAACCATGTCAATTATGAATTAATGGCCAACTGGACTAAAAAGCGCTCGAAATAAAATAATCGGTTGTCCCTCTTTGGGAACAAAATCGGTCGGTTTGTCCGACAGGCGATCAAAAATCTGACGATTTCCGAAAAATCGGAGCAAGTGGCAGCCCTGCGCTTCAAAGTGCACACAAAAGCTCAGTGGTAGAGCATGGCTGGCCATAAACGAGGGCCCCTGGTTCGAGTCCTGCTGGTGACAGTCAATTTTTTTAATACTTTTACCATTTACAACCTTCCCTCAAACTCATGAAATGTGTTCTCCTTTTTTGCCTTAGTTTCTTCATCGGCAACGTGTCATCCGTCTGTACCGAACACTCTTGAAGACAGCACGGCGAATTCCGGATGAAGACTACAGGCGTGAGATAAGTCGCTGGACAAAGGAAGGCTTTCGTCAATACCAACATGAAGCGAACGAGGTACGTGCGGATTGAACCCCGGACTGGAGGTGTGTTGTCAATTTGTGAACCTATGGAGGTTATGCGGTTACACCATCAGTAAACATGCTTTGGCGGAGTCGTGCGGACTCGCGGCACAGCGCTGCACTTGTACTAGCGACTCGTGCTGCGTACTAGTGTTGAAACGAGCGTATCTATAACAAACGAGCAATCAGTTCCACTAACGAGCAAGCTATCGAGCGAGCTAACGAGTTTCATTGATGTGGCAAATATGACTTTTTTTAAATATTTTTTTCTATTATAAACTCGGATGTTGAGCCATAAATAAATGTGGAAAGGAAGAGGACATATGGATACGAGTTACTCTTAACTCGTATCCATATGTCCTCTTCCTTTCCACTTCTATTATAAAGTTCGATTTTTTTCAGCTGGTTCAAATAATTTTAATGCTGTTGAATACAGATAGCTCGTGCATGCTCGTTCATGAGTTAAAGAGTAATTGTTTGTTCCCTGTGTGTGTATGTGTGTGTGTGTGTACACGCGTGCGTGTGTGTGTGTGTGTGTGTGTGTCCTCTGCCTTTCATTCTTCTTGTTGTGTACCGCAAACAGGATATTGTGCGTGTCCAGATGGGCTACGGGGAGAAATCGCTCAAGGAACTCCAGCAGACTATTGCGCTAGCAAGATGACTCCCCCCACCTCCACTCTCCGGTACTGAGGACTGATATGACATTGTGCTAACGTCACTGCCAGAGAGTTAAAAGCTCCTTTATGGCATCACGGAGCTGTGGTCATCATTCATCTGCCACTTTGTGTGTATGACCCATGCCGGCGTTAGGTTCACTTGTCAGAAGTGCCAACTCAACCCGTGCTTGGTTTCAGCAAGGAGTACCTCTTCCACAAAGGCCACTGAGTCTACAAAGCCCTCAAAACAACTAACAGGGCAATATTCCACGCGCTTGTCACTTGTGGAGCAGTCATGAGCAATGGTGGTGGTGGTTACCAGTAGCTTCTGCCCTCATCTAGTGTCTCCGGCGTTCCGTGATGCATTCCAAAGCCACGCGCGGCCTGGGCTGACGGTTTGTGTTGGACTTTCGGTCGGTGTTACAGAACCTAAGGCCATGTCACTGTGACTCTCATTGACATGGCCTTAAAATAACTCTATCGTATCATTTATTTTTGCTCTTCATCTCTTTCCCAGCATCTCGGGCTGTTTGATACGTACAGAATATGGGAATACAAGTACATTTTAAAACGATTTGAGAAGAAGAAAATTGTAGAAATTCCAGTTCTCGCTGTAATTTTCCCGAGTCCCGGATTCATCATTGCATGTATACTAGTACTGATGTTGTACTGTAGGTGTGTGTGTGTTTGCAAGAAAGCTGCTTGACTTTGGCAAGAGATTCAGTTGCGGTGAAGATCACGTCGAAGGGTCCTGCCAACATGCCACCCAGCTATCCCACTGCCAGCACTCAAACTTGCAGTATTAGTGAGACGGCTCATGCGATTGCAGGGTTTGTAGGACGTCCACTCCTTCGACATTGTGAACGAACGTATCGTGCCGGTGGAGAATACAAAAAAACACGTTACAGGTTCACCACACAATAATCATGATAAAAGTGACTATAGTAGTTGTGTGCACTGACCCTAGACTTACATTGAATTTGTACATGTAGTTGATTCTTCGCGCATCCATGCCGACCCCCGTGACCAGAAACACTTGACAACGTTTAGTGCCTATCGTTTGTACTTTGTTTGGGGACGGGTGCAGCCTGTAAAGCAGGGGGTGAAGTTAGTTGGCAACGGATACAACTGTATCAGTGTAGGGTGCAGCATCTGATGGTTCTGTGGCACCATTCAGTGAAAAGAAAAGGTAAATGCATAGGCCAAAACATACGGAAAACCCTACCAGATTGGTGGGTTAGAGATTTACTTCCGTAGATATTTTGATGGCTGGTTTTAAAAAGGAGTTACCGATGCGATTTTGGGAGGGAGACCATCGGATACTGAATTGCTAGAGTAAGGGAGAAAAAAAGCTCTGTCCGGGCCGTGGTTTCCGTTGGTTATACCACAGTGGCAGATGCAGCGCCTGGTGGCGAGAGGCTCAGAGAGGTGGTAAGTCTCATAACCAGTGCGAATCCTCAAATATACAATCATAAACTTGAAAACCTCGCATCCATGTATTGTTACCCTTAGTTACTCGGAGTTGTGACTGCAGCTGTACCCAGTAGGAGTTGACCGTGCGCGTGGGTGTCGGCGCACTTCACATTGGTTTGAGGACATGTATCGATTTAGGAGCAGTGGACTGGTGGATAACACTATTCTTTGTCAGGTGCCTGAACAGATGCTCATCAATTATGTTCTTGTCCTCTATCCTAGTCCAAATCCTGCCTTGCCCATGCATGACTCTCATGAAATGCCCGTACTAAAAATAGTCTATAGAACAAGAATATTGGATATCATACATGCACTTCTCTCATCAACTATGATAATACTCATTTCATACCCTCCCCCCCTTCATAAAATTAATACCTACTGTTTTCTTTCCTTTCATTTCATCTTCTTTTCCGTTCCTTTCTTCTTCATACACATTTTAAACATTTTCATCATATTGTGAGAGCCGTGGGCCAATAGCCCCGGTGAGAAGGCAGTCTTGCCTGTTCATATGGTGAAGTAAAAAAAGAAACAACAACAACAACAACAACAACAACAACAACAACAGCAGCAGCAGCAGCAGCAGCAGCAGCAGCAGCAGCAGCAGCAGCAGCAGCAACAACAACAACAACAACAACAACAACAACAAGGGTGTGAAGGCTGGCCGTAGGAATTCCAGTTCTCGCTGTAGTGTAATCTTAGAGAGAAATGGGCCTCGCTCGATATACATGTACTTGTACATGCACGTTTACTAGTACAGTAAAACCTGTCAAGGCGACCACTTGGATAAGGCGACCACCTGTCCTAGAAGACCACTGAAACCAGGATCAAGGGATACTATTTCAAGTCAAATGACCCTGGAAAAGGAGACCACCTTTTGAAGGTCCCTTGAGCGGTCGTCTTAGACAGGTTTCACTGTAATGCAGAGTACTAGTAGAGACCTGGTTCTGTGGTATTACTAATGCAGACTTTCCCGATGACAAACAGAGTTCACCACACAGGACAACTACAGTGCACTTTCACCAATCTGCAGCGAGGCGTGTGCTTCAGAAAGCCATTGCATGAACACGCCAAAAGGAACTAGCCCGGATTCTGTCCCTTGTCGGGTGCTTAATCGGATGTGTGCAGATTCTCTTTCAGGCCCACTAGCTCGTCTCTCTCTCTCTCTCCGACAGGGCCACCAGCCATCTGCTTGGAAGGTGGCCGGAACGTCGTCGCGGTGCGTAAGAAAGGCTCCAGATTCTGTTTGAAGAACAATCGTCCCATATCCCTTCTTTCCATTATCTCCAAATGTATGGAAACAATAACCAACCGGAGTGTTGAACTACAAACTGTCTCGATCGCAACTCCATTCTCGTCACTCGCGAACTTACCTTCCGCTCCGTAGTGGGCGCAACTGACCTCCTACTCCTCCTAGCTCTGCAACATGAATAGAGCCGAGTTTGATCGATTGATTGACTGAAGTTTCTATTTAAGGATTGTCCAAAGGTCGCAGAAGCCTATCGAGGGGCTCTCCTGTGTAAGGAAGGCGGGGAGAGGGAGAGAGGAGAGAGAGAGAGAGAGAGAGAGGGAGAGAGAGGGAGAGAGAGAGAGAGGAGAGAGAGAGAGAGAGAGAGAGAGAGAGAGAGAGAGAGAGAGAGAGAGAGAGAGAGAGAGAGAGAGAGAGAGAGAGAGAGAGAGAGAGAGAGAGAGAGAGAGAGAGAGAGAGAGAGAGAGAGAGAGAGAGAGAGAGAGAGAGAGGAGAGAGAGAGAGAGAGAGAGAAGAGAGAGAGAGAGAGAGAGAGAGAGAGAGAGAGAGAGAGAGAGAGAGAGAGAGAGAGAGAGAGAGAGAGAGAGAGAGAGAGAGAGAGAAGAGAGAGAGAGAGAGAGAGAGAGAGAGAGAGAGAGAGAGAGAGAGAGAGAGAGAGAGAGAGAGAGAGAGACAGAGAGAGAGAGAGAGACAGAGAGAGAGAGAGAGACAGAGACAGAGACAGAGACAGAGACAGAGAGACAGAAAGAGAGGAAGGGAGATGAGTGCAATGTTAGGGCTCGGTTAATCAATACTGTCTGGAGAAAGAGGGTATACCAGAAACAGAATACAAGCAACTAGAACTGAGTTGCCTACAGATGAGGACTTGTGTGCCTTCCAGCTATGGATATATTGCTGGGGCATTCGGCAAGCTGTCGCACTCTACTGTCCTGCACAAACCTGTCAGAGTGGCATTATGTGGGGTCCAGGGATGCGTTGTGAATATTCTGTGAATAATGTCTTCATCTGAAACCCCAGACGTGAGGCCAACTCCTGAGAGCCTATCTCAGATGGAGATAATAATTATAATATAACTTTATTAGGATGACCCAAAGGCAAATCGCCTATCGAGGGGTTCACCGCATTGAATGGTTGTGGTATGACAAAGCAAAGAAGCAACCATTGTATGTGTGGGGGGGGGGGGGAGTTTCGAACTATGCACAGTGAAGGGATAGTTGCATGTACATGACCAAGGATACGGTATACCGGACAAAGTTGCCATTTTTGGAAGCAACGGATTGGGAAGTATAAGTTACTATAACAGTATTGTGGTAATGAGTGCAAAATCATAAGAATTAGTTATTATTAGTTTCTTTGGTCGTATCCTTAGTTCCGTTTTTCCCACTGATGATAGGAACGAGAAAATCGATTCTGGGTTTTCAATAATATTTTTGTTATAAAATACACAGTAATACATGTCAAACAAGTAACGTAGTTGCGTGATGTCTGCGGCCTTCATCCTATTCATAGCTATATTAAAATTATTATTATTATGATTATTATTATTTGTAAGAAAGGGCTTGCTCCCCACACCGGAGCTCGCGCTATTCCGCCGACTTTACTTGACACTTGACTGACTCACGACTGCCATCCAGAGCACACGAGAAGTCCATCGAACCTTCGACTCGGCAAACCTGCAAGAAAGCACCACTCCCTGCTCAATACACAGTGTTTCGGGGAATTCACCCCTCATCAGTTGAGCTTGAGTAGGCTGAGGAAGATTGTGCCTGAAGAGCACCACTTATATAGTGCTCTCCAGGCACAAACATCACCAGGGATACAAACTTACAGAGACGCTCCGTTTCCAGCGCGACAAACACGTCGTGAACACCAGATAGCAGCGTGAGTCAGTGTCGCTCCTGGACGGTGAGACAGACGTCGAAGGTTCGATGGACTTCTCGTGTGCTCTGGATGGCAGTCGTGAGTCAGTCAAGTGTCAAGTAAAGTCGGCGGAATAGCGCGAGCTCCGGTGTGGGGAGCAAACCCTTTCTTACAAGTCATCGCCGAAGTCGCAACCACTACTTCGTACTGTTGTGCCCGGCGCGGGCTTGCGACTAGTTGGTTTGGAGGTGACAGCGTTGCGAATGACCGAGGGTCCTCGACGTCTGTCTCACCGTCCAGGAGCGACACTGACTCACGCTGCTATCTGGTGTTCACGACGTGTTTGTCGCGCTGGAAACGGAGCGTCTCTGTAAGTTTGTATCCCTGGTGATGTTTGTGCCTGGAGAGCACTATATAAGTGGTGCTCTTCAGGCACAATCTTCCTCAGCCTACTCAAGCTCAACTGATGAGGGGTGAATTCCCCGAAACACTGTGTATTGAGCAGGGAGTGGTGCTTTCTTGCAGGTTTGCCGAGTCGAAGGTTCGATGGACTTCTCGTGTGCTCTGGATGGCAGTCGTGAGTCAGTCAAGTGTCAAGTAAAGTCGGCGGAATAGCGCGAGCTCCGGTGTGGGGAGCAAACCCTTTCTTACAAGTCATCGCCGAAGTCGCAACCACTACTTCGTATTATTATTATTATGACGGATAACCCAAAGGCGATGGTACCTAAATCAGGGGGTGTCTCCGGACCAAACACAGAGCAACGAGCTCAGCCAGCAGAAAACGTCAGAAAACAAACGAACAAAAATATGAAGCCTCGGATGTCAGAGAAGTACGTGCGGGGGTGCGCCGGACAACAGCAGCACATACACACGCGACGGGAAAAAGAAAGAAAAAACATAGTTTAAAATCCAGGGATCCCAGCAATGTCGTAACAGTACTGAGAGAAATGATGCTTTAGGTTTCTTTTGAATGTATGAGCATGTGCAATCTC